TCCCGCAGGGGGGGTTTGATGAGGGGGGGTACACCCCCCCAACTCACCCACCACACGCGCGGGTGGGGGGGGGGAATTTGGGGGGGTGGAGGTCCACACATCTGAAACTTGCCTTGGTTGAGAAACACTGCCCTAAAACATCTCACCAACATCTCACATCCAGTGGAGGGGGCTCCAACCTGGCTAGCCCACGGCCTGGGAGAAAAACCAGGTCTTTATGGCCCTTTGGGACACCAACAGGATGGGAGCCCTCCAGATCTCAGGAGGAACTTTATTCCCATGGCCAAAGAAAAAAAAAAACACTGTCTCAAAACACCCCGCTCTAAATGCACATGACCTCACCTGCTCTCCTGTGGATGCCCCTGACCTACATTGGCTGCTTAACCAGGTCTTCTTGAATAAGCCGCCACCAGCTAGCTCCCCTAACAGGCTCAGCAAAAACCAAACCGAACTATCCGGGCTCTGCAGAACGTTTGATGTGACCTGGAAGGGCCTTCGAAATTCAGCCGTGGTGCGACAGCCCAGAGAACAGCACTGGTGCCTTTCATTAAAACTGCATCACCATATTCCCAAAGATTCTGGCTTTTTATGTTATTTCTATTTATAGAATAGCATTCCTTTTGATAGCAGGAAGGAGTAAATGGAGCTGGAGGGGGGAGGAGGCGGAGGAAGCTGCTTACAGACCTGTTTTTTGATCCCTTGATTATCCACCCGGGCTAGAAATCTGTACATTTATATATCCCCCCCTCCCATTTTCTGTTTCCTCCAGCACAGGCTCCTGACACCAAACTGTATCCAATATCAGGCACTTCCAATGGGATCTTTCCCGAGATCAGTGGTTTTCAAAGGGTAGACTGGGGACCCCTGGGGTCCCCGTGACTCCTTCAGGGGCTCTGCAAAGTCCAATCAATAAATATTTTTACATTTCTCACTTTTAATTTCTAATGCCGCAAATGCCGATAGACATAACCCACATCAACCAAAGCTCTTTGGGCTCCTCAATTATTTTTAAGAACGTAAAGGGGTCCTGAGACCGTAAGGGTTGAGAACCACTGCCTTAGATTAAGAATAAATGGCAAGGCTCATTTCTAAATCTCTGACGTTTTCCATTTGTCCTCCCGGAAGATATCCCAACGCTGCCTTTGGGAGGTGTTTGGCAACAGAGAAAGGGAGAAACTTACAAAAAACCCTTTCAGTCAACTCGGCTCTTCCCACTCCCAGTTACCCAGCAGTCAATCTACGGATTTCCTCCACATTAATGCATCTTCGACTGAGAGGAAGTCTTTAGTGAAAAAGCCTTCCCTGTACAACAAGAGCATCGTCAATAACTATAACACAACAAAATCTGAGGCTGCTAACACTGTGTAGACTGCACCTCTATTTCTTAACTTAAAACTGCTGGAAAAAGTGGAGAAGGTCGTTGCTATTGTTGTTGCAAGAGAGAAAGTAAGAGGTGGAACCCGCAGGAAACAATGCAACGAACAAAGACACATAATAAAGGACACCATATCCAGATATTACTCAACTACTATCCATAACTATCCATGATTTATATTACTAAAGCGATTAGCATCCAAAATGCATCTCTCACATCCTCTAAAGGTGAGCAGGTACAAATTAAAAACAGGGACCGCCATCCTAACCGAGTTCAATGTTCAGAGCCACCACCTGCTAAAAAGCCAGCGCGGTGCAAACTGCAGGTTCTTGAAATGAGTATCAGACCGATTACACTTTTATATATAATATAATCTCTATAGCCAAATGGGTTCCTGAATGCAGATTCCAGTATTTTTAAGTTCAGCAGAGACATTAAAGATTCCAGGGACGCTGGAAGGAGAGGTTTGCACAAAGAATCATCATTATGAGGACCGGAAACTTATTGTTATGTTCTGGCTTCTGCCACGAAATTTTGCAGACTGCTTGACTTCCTGGCCCAGGAAATCATTCAATTAGATTCCCTTTCTGTCTTGTGACAGAAGTCACAACTTAATGGTGGCCTACAGGACAGCCTGATACATCTGTTTAGAAAAACGATACGCCCTACTGAACTAAATGGTATTCCCAGGTAAGCTTGTAACCAACTTTACAGTTGCTTTATTATCTCATAATGGCTTTATAAAGACCTTCCCTGCCCGTAAGCCAACTAAACATCTATTCTGAAATGTGGGTCTAGCATTGTTTTTAAAAAAGCTTTCTCTATGTATTATTCATATCTTGCAATTATCAAGGGTTTACATTAATAAAAGTTCTCTTTTTTAATGTCCAGATGCAGTGATGGAATTTATATGATGTCATCAGCAACAAATCAAGCAGCCCGTTACAGAAACTGCCCAAACTTGTTGTAAAACGGAACTGAGTTGCTCCTCTTCTGAATTGCTGTCTGCCAACTTCGCCAAGGACGCTCGAGAGAGGGAAAAGACCCCCCCCCATCACCTTCAAAACCAGCGGGCCCAGTCCGACTGCAGAGTACAACCACTGGTGTGGTGGGTGGAATAACGCCTGCATTCACTTCAGCAAACAAAGCTGATGTCACTTCATCCTGCAGTGCCCTTGCACGAGGAAAACACGCGTGCTGCCGAAGCTGCAGTCATGCACAGCGCCGCTCTCCCGCCCTCCCCCGCCGGGGCACTGGGACCTGCGTTCTTGCGCAAATCGTATCCGAGGCATCTGCGCAAGCCCCCCGACGCTTTTCTTTCCAAGCTGCGCCCTCCGCTCCCGGTTACGAGGAGGCAAGAGCCTCCCGCGCGCCTAGTTCTGGGGCGCCGGTTCCGCTGTGTGCGCCTTCGGGCGACCTCAGGAGCCCCCGGGATGTCCCGTGGGGCATCCGCGGCTCGCCCCGAGCAGAGGCACAACCGGGCGCCCAGGGCGAGCGGGCATGGATGCGAAGCGTGCGCGCGAGCTGCCTGGACGCCCACCTGCCCGGCTT